CTACAGTTGGATTCTGGAATACAGTGTTTCCTCCAGGTGGTTTCTCAGTCTGTTGGTTATCTCTGACATATTTAATACAGTTTGATTCTGGAATACAGTGTTTCCTCCATGTAGTTTCTCAGTCTGTTGGTTATCTCTGACATGTTTACTACAGTTTGATTCTGGAATACAGTGTTTCCTCCAGGTGGTTTCTCAGTCTGTTGGTTATCTCTGACATCTATAATACAGTTGGATTCTGGAATACAGTGTTTCCTCCATGTAGTTTCTCAGTCTGTTGGTTATCTCTGACATCTTTAATACAGTTGGATTCTGGAATACAGTGTTTCCTCCATGTAGTTTCTCAGTCTGTTGGTTATCTCTGACATCTATAATACAGTTGGATTCTGGAATACAGTGTTTCCTCCATGTAGTTTCTCAGTCTGTTGGTTATCTCTGACATCTTTAATACAGTTGGATTCTGGAATACAGTGTTTTCTCCATGTAGTTTCTCAGTCTGTTGGTTATCTCTGACATCTTCAATACAGTTGGATTCTGGAATACAGTGTTTCCTCCATGTAGTTTCTCAGTCTGTTGGTTATCTCTGACATCTATAATACAGTTGGATTCTGGAATACAGTGTTTCCTCCATGTAGTTTCTCAGTCTGTTGGCTATCTTTGACATCTTTAATACAGTTGGATTCTGGAATACAGTGTTTCCTCCATGTAGTTTCTCAGTCTGTTGGTTATCTCTGACATCTTTAATACAGGTGGATACTGGAATACAGTGTTTCTTCCATGTAGTTTCTCAGTCTGTTGGTTATCTCTGACATCTATAATACAGTTGGATCTTGGAATACAGTGTTTCCTCCATGTAGTTTCTCAGTCTGTTGGTTATCTCTGACATCTATAATACAGTTGGATTCTGGAATACAGTGTTTCCTCCATGTAGTTTCTCAGTCTGTTGGTTATCTCTGACATCTTTACTACAGTTGGATTCTGGAATACAGTGTTTCCTCCATGTAGTTTCTCAGTCTGTTGGTTATCTCTGACATCTATAATACAGTTGGATTCTGGAATACAGTGTTTTCTCCATGTAGTTTCTCAGTCTGTTGGTTATCTCTGACATCTATATTACAGTTGGATTCTGGAATACAGTGTTTCCTCCATGTAGTTTCTCAGTCTGTTGGTTATCTCTGACATCTATAATACAGTTGGATTCTGGAATACAGTGTTTCCTCCATGTAGTTTCTCAGTCTGTTGGTTATCTCTGACATCTTTAATACGGGTGGATTCTGGAATACAGTGTTTCCTCCATGTAGTTTCTCAGTCTGTTGGTTATCTCTGACATCTTTAATACAGTTGGATTCTGGAATACAGTGTTTCCTCCTTGTAGTTTCTCAGTCTGTTGGTTATCTCTGACATCTTTAATACAGTTGGATTCTGGAATACATTGTTTCCTCCATGTAGTTTCTCAGTCTGTTGGTTATCTCTGACATCTATAATACAGTTGGATTCTGGAATACAGTGTTTCCTCCATGTAGTTCCTCAGTCTGTTGGTTATCTCTGACATCTTTACTACAGTTGGATTCTGGAATACAGTGTTTCGTATATACATGAAAAGTTTACCAGATGCTGCTGTCAAAGCCTCTTCATAATTTTCCTCTTCTTCTGTGACTTTGGTGACTGAAGTTGAGTGGTGAAGTTTATTATCCTCTCTTGTATAAGATCTGTAACAACTGCTGTGGTAGTGCGCCTCTGCTGCAACAATTTCCCGGCTTGTAGCTGCTATGATTCTGTAATCCAATTTCCCAACGGCTTTTCTCATCAGTGTGTCATTTGTTCTCAACTGTGATGATTTTACCCATGTGCCCCTTGTTTTTGATCCTTTGATGTACTTATTTATTGTGCAAAATAAACAAAGAGCTTCATATACAGCTGACGACTTGCTGTTACGCACAGATGTCTCCCTTGGCTCTGTTGCTGTTTGCCCATCTCCAGGCGTCATGAATTGTTATAGGTCTCTTTCATTAGTGAACCTGCTCCGGCAATTCCTGTGATAAAGAAGTGATGGAAATTTATCTTCATCAGTTTGTTTTCCAATTTCCAAAATGACTTCATTATGACGAAGCTTTGCGGCCCTCAGCAGTGTTTTATGATATGTTGGAAAATGTACTTAAATCATCAGATGCTTTTTTTCCCATATTATACAAGTATACTTTTTTTCCACTGGTGATGGAGAATTACAAATGTCTGCCATAGTTGACTATGATGGTTTGATGTCACCTGCAATAGAAATATAATCTTGAGCAATCATGTGTTATTGTATTGCTGGTATAACAAGGTAAAAAATTAAAATGCTGTGCTGTACTAATTTCCACCAAGATTTTGATGAAAGGATATCAACATCTCATTGCCCTCAGGTTTTTTGAACTGGTATAACAAATTAGAATGCATAATAATGGTAATACCGTAATCCTTTAGTAAATTCCCTCCAAAATGTGTATATTCCATTTCCTATATATATTCAGCAAAAAGATGAGCACCTAAACATAGGTATAGAACACAAGCAGCAATTATTGTGAATTCTACATGCAATCGAGATTTATTAAATCACAGATAATTTTCTTTTCAAAAACCATTTAACATGACCAATAACACATTTAAATCCCTCAAATATTACATAACATCTGACAAAACGTCCAAATTCAGGTGCAGTTATCACCACAAAGAAGAAAGAATCAGGTTCAACAGAGGTTTTTACCCCTATTATATAACCTTTGGGAAATACTGTTTCTCAAGTGTTTGTTTATAGCCTATCTGTCAGGTGAGGAAAACTGAAAATATTGGTCCCCAATATAAGTTGTGTGTGTCAAGTCCTCAAACTATATATAGTGAGACGTCTAATCAGTTGTAAGTAAGTACTCCTGATTAGAGTTATCCCCCCTGGTAACCTTTGTTGACAATATGGCTGTTTACCAAGTCAAAGACTTAAGTTTACAGTCAAGGCACAATAAAAGAAGTGTACATATGCAAAGCAAAAATTGCATGATATAACTCATCACATGGTGAATTGTTGATTCTACTCAGCAAGACACTAGAATATAATATTTTAACATTTTCACTGTTTGAGTCAATGAGGAAAACAAAACCAAATATTTTGTAGAATAGTATTATGGTTAATAATTTTTCTATACTCAAAAATGTAGAAAAGAACTAAATTCTAAGATATATATTAAGAAAAAGCCTTTTAGACACTGAAAATCTGTTTTAAAACATTTTTTCATTTAGAACTAGAGATCAAACACACCAGACACTGTGTATAGAGTGAGTGAGTATGACTGTACGCCACTCTTAGCAATATTTCAGCAATATCAAGACGGGTGACACTAGACACTGGACTTCACACATTGTGCCTATGTGGGGAATCGAACCTGTGTCTTCAGTATGACGAGCGAATGCTTTAACTATCAGTCTACCCCATCGCCCAACTGTGTATAGAAGTACATGTCTAACGCATCAGACACTGTGTGTAGAAATAGAGAACAAACACATCAGACACTGTGTATGGAAGTACAGTTCTCACACACCACGCACTGTGTGTAGAAGTACAGATCTAACACATCAGACACTATGTGTAGAAGTACAGATCTAACTAATCAGCAACTATGTGTAGAAGTACGTATCTAACACATCCAACACTGTGTGTAGAAGTGCAGATCTAACTAATCGGCCACTATGTGTAGAAGTACAGATCTAACTAATCAGCCACTATGTGTAGAAGTTTATATCTAACACACCAGACACTGTGTGTAGAAGTACATATCTAACTAATCAGCCACTATGTGTAGAAGTTTATATCTAACACACCAGACACTATGTGTAGAAGTACAGATTTAAGACATCAGACGTAGAGAGTAGAAGTACAGTTTTTACACAACAATTGCTGTGTTTAGAAGTACAGGTCTAAAACACAATACACTGTGCGTAGAAGTACGTATCTAAAACATCCAACATTGTGTGTAGAGGTACAGATCTCACACACCAGACACTCTGTGTAGAAGTACAGATCTAACACATCAGACACTCTGTGTAGAAGTACACATCGTTTAGTGTGCGAGGAAGTATGGATGGAACACACCATGTACTGTTTGTTGAGGTACAGATCTAGCATGCCTTTTTAAAGTACAGGTGTAACACATCAGGCAATGGCGACATATCCACACACACTCCACAACGGATTCCCCCATCTTGTTTTTGTATCTAGTAACATCATTCACATATCTCCTCTGTATCATCATGCTACCGCCATTCGGTGAAGTACAGCGTCATAAGGCAACCCCTTCATTATAAGGGTTGTCATTCCAGAAGATATGGGCTTCAATCGGTCTCGAGCTTGTAGAAAGACGCGACTAAATATAATGGGATTGGTGGTCAGGCTTCCGTATCCCAATCGATGCTCAAGATGTCAGAAATTAGATTGTTTGGCCAAGACACAATTATTTACAGACATCCGTCGTAAAGCTGGATTGTTGTTAAATGTCGCTACAACCACGATTGTAAACAGCTGCTTAGTTCCATGGTTTTGAAGTTTGTGTTAATTTGACGATACACTTTCTAGCAGGCAAAGTAACAGATAGGCAGCTCCCAGTGATGTGGCAAGAAATACTTCTGGAATGAGATATTCAACAACCGACTTATTATGGTTTTGAAGTTTGTGTTGATTGTTGGTTCATTTCTGCCAGGTAAAGTGACGCCAGTCAACTCTCAGTGATGTGGCTGCATATGGTTTTGCTGTTGCTCGGTGAGTACATCTAAACTGGTTTAGAAACATGTGTAACAGTAGCATGATTTAAATGACAAGTTTGTATATATATTCGAGGTTGCGGGACAGCATTCCAAACTTAGACTTGCTATCACTTACCATGGACATATGTGTTTATCTTGACTATCTTGTGGGTATATTTGACTGTTGCATTTGTGTCTGTTACATAATTCTATTAAAGCTTCAAACGTTCTTGGCGATGAGCAATGCTCCTGGGGAATATATGGCGAGAACTGCGACAAGACCTGCCCCTCCAACTGTTACCCCGACCAACGGAAAAACCTCATACACTGTCAGAAGGACACAGGGAAATGTTCTGAGGGATGTGTTCGTGGTTACCATGGCGACCAGTGTAATATATCCTGCAGCGGAGGCTGTTTAAAGGAAACCTGCAATCCCGGAAACGGACATTGTACGTTAGGTTGTAAACAGACCTACAAAGGGGGTTTCTGCAATGAGACATTAGGTACGTAGTTCCACGCACGATCACAAGGAAGCAAATTTCTTGATTTCAAAACAACATAACTATTTCTTCCAAGAAGCCACATTTAGCAAGGTGCATTAGATGTAATGTAATGCAGAAACCATATGTTTAAGCTTCCAAATCAGTCCAGAATACGTGATGTCTTAACAGAACACATTTTGTAGCGTGCTAGTTGGCGAATTTTTCTGAGCCTTTAGAATATACCCTTGTAGTCTGACTCAAGAGTGTTCAAGAACGGAACCTTCTGGAGAGTGTCTTTGTTCGCCAAACTAATTTCGTCTTGATTTTGCTTGCGTTAAAGAAACAGTGGTGACGACACATACAACGTTACCAACAACAGAGGCGTCTCCCGTAGAGCCAGCGGCAGATCTCGTTGTGATTATCGTTCCTATCGTCGTCGTCATCATCCTCTGTCTGGTCATAGTGCCTCTGGTGGTCTGCATGGTGTAAGTATACAGCTGACACAACTACTCATTCATCATACTCTGTCTGGTCATAGTGGCTGTGGTGGTCTGCATGGTGTAAGTGTACAGCTGACACAACTACTCATTCATCATACTCTGTCTGGTCATAGTGGCTGTGGTGGTCTGCATGGTGTAAGTGTACAGCTGACACAACTACTCATTCATCATACTCTGTCTGGTCATAGTGGCTGTGGTGGTCTGCATGGTGTAAGTGTACAGCTGACACAACTACTCATTCATCATACTCTGTCTGGTCATAGTGGCTGTGGTGGTCTACATGGTGTAAGTGTACAGCTGACACAACTACTCATTCATCATACTCTGTCTGGTCATAGTGGCTGTGGTGGTCTGCATGGTGTAAGTGTACAGCTGACACAACTACGTGGTGGTCTACATGGGTAATGGTAAGTGTACAGCTGACACAACTACTCATTCATCATACTCTGTCTGGTCATAGTGGCTGTGGTGGTCTACATGGTGTAAGTGTACAGCTGACACAACTACTCATTCATCATACTCTGTCTGGTCATAGTGGCTGTGGTGGTCTGCATGGTGTAAGTGTACAGCTGACACAACTACTCATTCATCATACCCTGTCTGGTCATAGTGGCTGTGGTGGTCTGCATGGTGTAAGTGTACAGCTGACACAACTACTCATTCATCATACTCTGTCTGGTCATAGTGGCTGTGGTGGTCTGCATGATGTAAATGTACAGCTGACACAGCTACTCATTCATCATACTCTGTCTGGTCATAGTGGCTGTGGTGATCTGCATGGTGTAAGTGTACAGCTGACACAACTACTCATTCATCATCCTCTGTCTGGTCATAGTGGCTGTGGTGGTCTGCATGGTGTAAGTGTACAGCTGACACAACTACTCATTCATCATACTCTGTCTGGTCATAGTGGCTGTGGTGGTCTGCATGGTGTAAGTGTACAGCTGACACAACTACTCATTCATCATACTCTGTCTGGTCATAGTGGCTGTGGTGGTCTGCATGGTGTAAGTGTACAGCTGACACAACTACTCATTCATCATACTCTGTCTGGTCATAGTGGCTGTGGTGGTCTGCATGGTGTAAGTGTACAGCTGACACAACCACTCATTCATCATACTCTGCCTGGTCATAGTGGATGTGGTGGTCTGCATGGTGTAAGTGTACAGCTGACACAACTACTCATTCATCATACTCTGTCTGGTCATAGTGGCTGTGGTGGTCTGCATGGTGTAAGTGTACAGCTGACACAACTACTCATTCATCATACTCTGTCTGGTCATAGTGGCTGTGGTGGTCTGCATGGTGTAAGTGTACAGCTGACACAACTACTCATTCATCATACTCTGTCTGGTCATAGTGGCTGTGGTGGTCTGCATGGTGTAAGTGTACAGCTGACACAACTACTCATTGATCATACTCTGTCTGGTCATAGTGGCTGTGGTGATCTGCATGGTGTTAGTGTACAGCTGACACAACTACTCATTCATCATCCTCTGTCTGGTCATAGTTACTGTGGTGGTCTGCATGGTGTAAGTGTATAGCTGACACAACCACTCATTCATCATACTCTGCCTGGTCATAGTGGCTGTGGTGGTCTGAATGGTGTAAGTGTACAGCTGACACAACTACTCATTCATCATATTCTGTCTGGTCATAGTGGCTGTGGTGATCTACATGGTGTAAGTGTACCGCTGACTACGTGTTTTATACTGGGAACTAGCAATGGTGTATCACGGTCTTCACTACAACCATAGCTACAAGTTCCATCAACAAAGGAGATATGTTCCATGTCTGATCTTTAATAAATACCGAAAACACAAAAAAACATATTCAAATATATTCAAATACCGTTCAAGATTGAATTTCAAAAGATTCTCATAATTGTGATTCTTTGCAGACGAAAACGGAGGAGGAGAAGAGAAGCCAACATTGAGAGCAGGTAATAACAGAACGAACGATCATGCAACATCACCTCACGTTTTTACTTCAATGTGAACATACACTGTCTGACATAGCATACATAATACATCTAATGCATAGTGTAGAAACTCTGCATTTAGGAAGCAGTGGAAACATTTTTAACTTGACAATTCATTTCACTGATTCAAGTATACCAAAATAGAAATCATCGACCAATTGTGATTGTCAACTTTTCTACTTGCAGGTTTCAAGAAGAAGGTAAGTATGTCAATGAAGCTGGAATATGACTGGTGTAGTATTATTTGCGTCCTCCCTTGACTTTGCTTTCCCTAACTGATATTTAACATATACTCTTCAAAACAAGAAACAAGACATGCTGTTTTGGAGTTTATTTGCTGAGTGCATATAATTGATTCAACCATGACATCATTGTTCAGTTACAAAAAAATAATCACTTCACACATTTTTAAAACATGATTTTCCAGAAAATGTTTGGTAAAACAAGAGAGGGCTATTAAAGCCACTTGGTGAGAGTGAAATGTCAGTATCTGGTGTGACCACCATGAACATCGATCACTGCTTGGCAGCGACGGCCGTAGAACAAAGGCGATGCCAGTCGCTGTCTTGTGGAATGTCTTGATACTCTTGCTGAAGTCCAGCTCTTGTAGTGTCTGACGTGGCGGATTACAATGGCACAAGCGTCGGTCAAGAGTACCCCATGGATATTCAATGTGGACAAATCGGGTGACCGAGAAGGCCATGGTAACACCTGAATGTTGTTTTGCTGGAGGAAGTCCAGGCAAACACGTGCAACGTGAGGTCGAGCATTGTCATGCTGGAAAGATCCACCGTTGACGTTGATGAAGGGAATGACGTGACGGTGCAAAATCTCGTATTTATAGCGAACCACATTCAATGCAACAGCCACGTGCACAAGAGCTGTCCGGCCATTATGATGGATACCTACCCAAACCATGACACTTTCACCACCAAATCTTTCGACCTGCTGTACACAATTATCGGCGTAACGTTCGTTCACACGTAAACATCCATTAGTACGTCTGAGAAGAAACCGAGTCTCATCTGAGAACAAAAGTGTCATCCATCTTGCCTGCGAACATTCCACTCTGCACCATTGTAGACGTTCAGCCTCTTGAAGCTCTATCAAGACATTTATACAGCTAAACGTTAATTAAGCACCACCAAATTCAAAAGTAAATATTATCAATTAGTGTCAAGTAAGGATAATGAAATTTCACAGTATGCTATATGCCTGTATTGCCCGTGCATCACACGTATCGCAGACATAAACTGCGCAATACATAGAAGATGCACGTGCTCGATACACATGCACGGGGTCTTTCGACTGAAAACACAGTATTGTTGTTTGATACTTGGTGGCTGAAATTTGAACGTTGAAGCAACAGATCTTATTGTACTGTTCCAATACAACATGCCGAGACGTAGGCTATCCGAGAACCTACGATGGAGAATCATTGGCATGCATGAAACCGGTTTATCATGCCGTCAAATTGGTATCAATTTGAATCTCAATCACACCATTGTTAGCCGACTGGTACGAAAGCACGTGCAAACTGGAGACGTCAAAGACCGACCCAGACCTGGACGTCCAAGAAAAACTAGTGCTCGTGACGACAGGGCCTTAATTCGCTTAGCCAGACGCAATCCAATGACCCATGCTGAAGACCTCCGTAGACAATGGCGAGTGGGCGTCAGACTGTCCACGAATACCGTCCGAAAGAGGTTAAGAGCTGCAGGATTGCGTGCACGTAGACCAGTCAGACGTCCATTTCTCACTGACAGACACATGCAAGAACGCCTGGCGTGGTGCAGGTTAAGGCAAAACCACAATCTCCGATACTGGCGCAGAGTCCACTGGTCGGACGAAAGTCGTTACCTTTTGCACGTCACTGACGGCCGCAGCCGTGTCTGGCGCCGCCGCAATGAAGCTTATAACCCGGAAATGATTGAACCAACGGTCCCCTTTGGCGGTGGCTCAGTGATGGTGTGGGGTTGTGTGTCCTACGACTGCAAGCTGGACCTAATCACAGTACCGGGAACGTTAAACGGACAACGTTATCAACGTGACATCTTGGATGTTGCCGTAATACCCCATTTTGACAATCACACACTTGCCAGTCGTCCCCTGTTCATGGATGATAACGCCAGGCCTCATCGTGCCAGAGCAGTAGTCGATCATTTGAGGAACAATGCTATTGACACTATTCCATGGCCAGCCAAAAGCCCGGATCTTAATCCCATAGAGCATTTATGGGATTATCTTGGGCGCCAAGTGAGAGCCAGAGATCCTCCTGTGCAGAATATGGATGAACTGCAACAGGCTCTTCACGAGGAGTGGCAGAGAATCCCGATGCTTAGAATCAGACGTCTCATTTCAAGCATGAGAAGGCGTCTTGAAAATGTGATTCGTGTTAGAGGTGGATACTCCCGATACTGACTAAACAGTTTCTAGAGATAGCCATGATGACAACAAGCATATTTACGTTGAACGTTTGACATTGCAGATACCAGTATGGACTGGACAGTGATACTTTTCAGGCCTAATGAAATGGTCGTTTTGACGCTTATTCGCATAACTCCAATAAATTGGTATCAAAGATAATCATCGGCTTCGTTTTCTGTGTAGTGATAGTGCAGGACATCCCTTCAGCAAAATCAATCCTCTTTACATTGAGTCAGACAGGAAATTGCACTTTTCATGATTTGAATGTTGAACTTTTCTGAAAAGTGGGCAGTGCTTAATTAACGTTTAGATGATTACTAGTTCGTCACAAAGTATTTCTGTGGTTCCTTCTCCCCGCCTGACATAAAATCATAAAACAAATCATGTATGTGTTTTCTCCGCCGTTGTGGAAATTTTGCCCGGGTGTAATATAAAAAGTGAAAAATACAGTTTTCCTTCCCAACTCTTAGAAGACAGATATCAGCTTGACCTTTATTTACCTTTAACCCCCCGGATGCCGAGAAATTGTCAAAAATTTGGACAACATTTAGCAAGGTCTATTTCTCAAACCACCAAGGTAGTTGCACTTATAGTTATACCAACGGATAGGAAATTGAATATTCTACATTTCTGTTTAATTTTATAGCCGTACGTAGATCCAGGACCACGCGAGCGCAATTCTCCCACAATGTTCACTTTTCAAAGCGTATGAAAATGTGCGCCTGAAAAAAAACTCGGCATCAAGGGGGGTTAAGGAAAAATAGCTGTGAATAGATCATTAATAATGTTTGCGATCTGTGTCAAACACCACTTTAAAGGCCTTGAATGAGTGGCTGGATTTAAATTTTTCATGTATAGATAATATATCATATAAAGGGTAAAAACATTTTCAATTAGATTTTTTCAAGCGTTATTCTATATTTTGTCCATTCTGGGACATGAGAATTATATATAATACCGATCATCTTAAGTCCCACTGCTTCTTCTGTCCGTGCATGTATATACTAGAACCGGTTATACAAGTAAATACATAGAGGATATTTTGTTTATGTTGTCAAATTAGGAGATAAACATCATGTGTTGGTCGATTTCCAGGTGTTATTGAATGTTTGAAGCACGGGAATATTTCATTCGGCGTTAGTCGGGTGTTTCAAATGAAATATTCCCGTGCATCAAATACTCAATAACACCCAGAAATTGGCCAACACATGATGTTTATCGACATTGTAAACACAAAAGGAAACCATGGGATTTACTGTCCGCACTCATTGACATCAGGTATGGGTACAGCAGTGAAGTGTCATCAGCCGGCTGTTTCAGCTGGTTCCCATAGTAGCATCTGGAACTGCTCGTTTGTTACGTCATTCCGACTTTACGTCACAATATGATTTGAATGACGTCACCACTGCTGACGACACAACAATACAATTGTGTGCGATATTTGTACGTGTCAATACGCAGTGAATAGTTTTAAAGTTTCCGGGAATCGAATACCATTCGATCATATTTTCCAACCAATCAGAGTAAAGAACACGGTGACTTTGGTTTACAAATCATGTGTATTTCATCGAGACCACAACATGAAATAATATACGTGCTATTTGACAACATTAACAAAATAGTCTATTCAGTTTATTTTATCATTGTTTATAACTGTTCGAGACATCGAGTAAGTCTGTATTTTATTACGAAACTACAGTCTAGCCCTTGAGTTCCAGGCAAAAGTGATATTCTACTCAGTGAAATAACATGTTATTCTACTCAGTGAAAATACCATTTTGATTTTCACAAATATTTACAGTATTTCACCCTTAAGAAAATAATAAATGTTGTTTATCGTGTATAGACTCAATAACATATTGAAGGAATTTCATCTAACATGGTGTTCCCTTATTTTCAGTTCCCTTGATGGACCAGAATAGGGCAGAAACTGCCAGTGAGTACAAACTACCGTTAGTTTGCGTTTAATCCCATACTTTCCTGTAATTTACATCACTTTCTGGGTGTATTTCATGTTGTAAAACTTTCTGTAAAAGGGGTGATTGTTTCTGAGAACTTATAATCGACTTGCAAACAAACAAGCCAACTTTATTTAACATTAAATCATCTGTCCATGATGTTTGGATATTTTGTTTGTTCTTCTAACTAATGGATGGTTACCAAATTGTTAATGGTCCTGTAAAAGTGATTGTTCTGTGAACAGTAAACAATCATGGGTACTCTGTCGCAAATCAATCATACGAAACAAGCTTTCTGGGCTGAGGTTGTCCAGGCTAGTGTTTTATGAACTTCCATGATAATAGTTTAGTTGACTATGTACACAGACTCGGTTAAAGCCTTCTTTCTGACTTAAAACCGGTTCTAGAAAGTACTTAAAACCGGTTCTAGAATGTACTTTTCCCCTCAGTCTTTTCTATATTGTATATGCTTCACTCTCTCTCCGCAATACTCCCTTCCAAGAAAATGAATTATGCATGAAATGTTTATTGAGACATTGCTCGATATCTGTGCTAAAAGTTCTTTGACCAGGACTGGTGCTTGGTTGGGCTCAACATTACCAAGAATCAGGTATACAGGAGAACAAATACTGGGATTGATGACAATTATTGAACAACATATATGTTTAAGTCAAGTGCTATTTATTTACATGGATATGAAAGAAACATTGACAAATCACTTGCATGGCAAATAAAGTAGCAATACAAATAATTACTTAATGATAATCTCGCTGAATCATTGCCTTGCATTTACCTCTCACTTGTCTCAAATGAATATATTTCTCTTTCCGTGCAGATCCATTGGGTCCAAATACAAACAATACACGAGCCTTGTTTGTTGAGACTGAAAGCTTCGAGAAAGTGAGAGAAATGTTAGAGAAGTTCCATCACGTGACAATCAGTGGAGCTCCTGGAGAAGGTAAAACATCCATGGCCCTGATGCTGGGAGCTGAATACAGGAAGCAGGGGTATGAACTGGTACTGGTTGAGGATCTCGATAACGTAGAGCTGTCTGACTGGCAGGGTGATGGCAAAGACGTATGTCTGATATTTGATGACATATTTCAGAAGGCTGGGCTATATGTCGACGTGCCCCGTCTTACACACATCTTCTGTATGAGCTGCATCTGCACCTCACACAATGTAAGAACAGGTCTGAAGGAAGATATGAGAGTTACCATCAGGAGTCTTGGGAGGAAGGAAGGAGAGACAATCAGTCAAACATGTTTCTCATATTCACCTCAGAATCCACCATCCTAGAACGTGCAATGTCGCAACTAAAAGGCCAGACATTCAGGTTTTTCAACAGTTGTACAATAGCAGACTTGACCAGAACAGAATCGTTGTGCTACACAGACGAGGAGAAGAATGAAATGTTGTTGAAATATAAATCCCATTACAGATACAAAGCAGATGTCGATTCGATCGAACTTAGTGGAAATGATAAACAAACTATTGGATTTCCTCTTGTATGCAAACTCTTGTCAAGTTATGCTGCTTTTCAACAAAGCCATGACACCTTCATGAAGAATCCTGTAGCTACTGTCAAACTTGAACTTCTTGAGGTTATCCATCGGCTTGATGATCGGTCAGCTGCTCTAATCCTGGTGCTCCTGTGTGACGGGCAGCTGAACGTTGGTCAGCTGGAGACAGAATCCGACCCAGCCCTAGAGACTCACCTCCAGGCAGTTCGGACTCTTGTGCCAACATCAACCAACCATAGTGTAGCTAAAGCTGTCAGGAGTCTTTGTGGTTCATTGTTGACGGAAGGAAACATAACAACATTTTCCCATTCTGTGATTTATGATGTCTGTGTGTCTGTCTTATACAGCACTGAACCTGAGTTTGTTCGTAGACATTTCAGCATCCAGTTTCTCATGAAACATGTGCAGGATCAGCAAAGCGACATGATAATTCCTGTCAATGAACACCAGCTAATCATTCCTTTCTCAGACCCATACAGTGGAACACTGGTGGACAGGATGGTTGGCTCTCTTGTCTATGATGGAACTTTAAGCACATACATTATGCACCCTATATGGAAAAGAGAGGAAATAGTCAAGAAATTACATCAAATGATCAAAGATACAGATTCCCTGCCAAATCATGCCAGGCACAATATTTTCTGTTACGCCTGCTTCACTTGGAACAAATCCATTATGGCAAAACTTCTTCCCCACTGTGACATCAATAGTCGTGATTTGAATGGATGGACACCTGTTTGGTATTCTGTTGCCTCTGGACACAAGGATAGTTTAAAATATATCATAGGTCATAAAGATCCTACAAAACTCAGTGGTGATGACAAAAACAGTTTCCTACATGTTGCTAGTGAATATGGGACAGCTTCAGTTGTAGAGTACCTACTGAACGACCTGAAATGTGATATCTACAGTCAAGGAGCAGACGGCTGGACACCAGTCACGCGTGCAGTGTTTGCTGGGAAGAAGGATGTATTGAATGTTTTACTGAACCACAAAAGTTTACCAGATTTCATCATCAATAGGGCGCTTCATCTGGCATGTGAGTGGGGGAAAATCTCCATGACTTCACTGATGGATATTAGTTCTCCTGGTAAACATGGTCAGACACCCATAATGAGTGCAATAGCTTCAGGAAAGAAGAAAATATTCGACCTTCTTGTGTCACGGAAAGCTGACATCAATCTGAGAGATGATGGCAACAACAGCCTCCTTCATTTGGCATGTGAGCCAGATGATACGTCAATTTTACAGACTCTCCTGCCACACATTGACATCAACATACCAGGTCAACATGGCTGGACACCGGTGATGAAGGCAGCCGTGAATGGAAGAAAGGATATATATGACCTGCTTGTGAAGGAGAAAGCAGATCTTAAACTGACTGATGACGATGGTAACAATCTCCTCCATCTTGCTTGCCACGGAGGAAATGTCTCCATTGTGAATCACCTTCTCCCACAATTTGACATCAACAGTCGTGGAGGCAGCGGGTGGACGCCAGTGATGTATGCGGTTGTCAATGGACACAAGGTTATGTTCAACTTTCTCGTGTCCGAAGGGGCTGATCTCTCTCTAACGGATGACTATAACAACTCGGTGTTTCATTTAGGATGCCTGGGAGGAAATGAAGCCATAGTGAAGGCTCTACTGCCAAAGGCGGATTTGAACAGTCAGGGAAACCTTGGGAGAACAGGTGTTATGAAGGCTCCTTAGGCAGGCAATGCTGATGTTTTCAAACTTCTTGTGTTAAAGAATGCCAATCTCAAAACACTTGATGACAACAATGATACAATACTTCATCTGTCCAGCCAGGGTGGTAACTGCTCCATTGTGGACTATTTGATAGGGGAAGGGTTTGACCTAAATTGTCGTGGAAACAATGACTGGGCAGCGGTAATGAATGCAGCCTGGTCAGGAAGGAAAGATGCCTTTGATCTTCTTTCTTCAAAGCATAATTCCATGTCTGTGTACAATTTATACGGTGACACAATACTTCACCTGGCGTGTGAAGGAGGCAATACATCTATTGTACAATCACTTCTGTCAACACTACGTCTTGATGTCAACATTAGGGGAAAGAATGGCCGGACTCCAGTAATGGCTGCAGCATTGGCTGGGAAGAATGAAGTGGTCGAACTTCTGGTGTCGAAGAAAGCTGACCTCAAACTGATTGATGACTGCAGCAACAACATTCTCCATCTTGCATGCCGGGGTGGAAATACATTAGTTATTGAGTTTCTCCTGCTGCTGTTTGATGTAAGCGTTCCTGGAGAAGATGGATTTACACCATTAATGATGGCAGCTCTCAGTGGGAAGAAGGAGGCTTACGATCTGCTAGCAACAAGAGGGGCCGGTAAATCATCGCTTACCTCTGAGGGTGATAATGTTCTCCATGCTGCTTGTCAAGGGGGAAATGTGGCAATTGTAAAGGAAGTGGTTGACAGCTTTGACATCAACTGTAGAGGAAAGAATGGTCAGACTCCTTTAATGAGGGCAGTCTGCGGCGGCCATATTGCTGTCTACAAAAACCTGGTGTCAAGTAGTGCTGAAAGCACGCTAGTGGACAAAGATGGACGCACTCTTCTACATCTTGCCAGTCGTCATGGGCAGCTTGCCGTGTTGAAACACATCATTGATGGCTTTGATGTCAACACCAAGGACAATATGGGCTTGACACCTGCCATGACGGCAGTACTACATACACAAGGTGCTGTACTCAAATACCTGAAAGATGAAGGGACAGATTTGTCTTTAGTTGACAACACTGGAGACGACGCCCTTACTCTCGCCCTTAAACTTGGGAGCAGACAAGTCATAAAACAACTGGGCAGAAAACATGATAAGAAAGTGACACCATGGAAAGAGCTGATGAAGTTTCTGGTAAGAGGGGAACTAACTATCCTGAAGACTTTCATCCAAAGTAGTCCAGATCTTGTTGAGAAAGACCAAGCTGGAGACACTTTACTCCACCTTGCTTGCCGTGGAGGCAACAGACACTGTGTGGAGTACCTGCTCCCGTCCTATGACATCAATGTCCAAGGTCGGTACAACTGGACACCGGTGATGATGGCGGCTGCATGTGGACATGCTGATGTCTTTCAGTTGCTGGTGGATCACAAGGCAGGTCTCTATCATGTCTCAGACACAGGAGAGGACATCCTCGCTCTAGCTCGTCGGGCGAATAATACCGAAATTATTGCATACTTGGAAAAAAGTGAGTGAAAAGAAAGTATGGAACTTCTGTCTTTAAAAAATGAATCATCATCGATGTAGAAAAAGCTTTACCATTACGGACAAGACTGACAGTGGTGGATATCAAGCATACCGTTAATGAAATACTTTCCTGTGTAATAAGATTGACAGGTACACACCACAAAACACGGATTTTACAGACTGTGGAAATTGTAATGTGGCAGATACAATCACAAACACTTTTACGGATTTCTTTAAAAACCCACCCACCTCTTTCTCTTAAAATGAAAACATGGAACTTTGATTACGAGTAATCAGCAGTGTAAAAGCTTTACAATTACGGATGTGACTGGTAGTGTCGGACAGAAAGCGTAAGTGCACAAAGCACCTTTTAAAATTTTGGGGAATAATTTGCTCCATGTCACTAAGAAAAGTAATTGTCCTAAAAAAAAAACGAACATCGTTTTTAATTCCACCTCACATTTAAGAATTGGGAAATATAACTCCTGCAGGATGGTCTGTACATGCTTCAGGGTCCATACAGGTAGCAAAAGTACTGTAAGTCCTATGGTCCCTAGTTTGGTGATCTACCTTCAGTCGCTGGTTATCTATAGCCAGTTATTATATTGTATTGTCCAAATAGTGCTATTAGTTTTAATTTTTCACACTAGTTTTAGTTGCAATTGTGATATTCTAGTTGTTTTACTGTCCATCGACAGGTTTTAATCTTCAAAATGTTCTCTCTTTATATTGTATAAATTGTTTTCGTTACGATATGGCTGAGATATTGCCGATGTGACGTTTAATATTAACTCACTCACTCACTGTACATGCTTTAGACTAAGAACATCCTGTGATTTGCGGAAGTAAACGCACATTGTCAGTCGCACTGGAGTGGACGCATCCTGACAGGATGTGGGTCAGGATGTGGGTCAGGATGTTGTTGTTGTGATCCAAGTGTTGAGTGGCCACTGTCCATCCTTCACTCATTACATAAATGTCAAATTGTCGACCTATATTTCAATCAACCCATCCACACCATGAATACAGATAAGCAAGATGAATCATGTGTGCCTGTGATGCAATTGTAAATAATTTTCTTGTATATTTGCTTCATTTTGTGACCCCGTGTATTTGTGAACTTGATGTACATACCATGAGAGCACCTTGAGCATGTACTAGTTGCGTGGATGTGAGGATATGTGCGCTATATAAAAATCCTATCACCATCATCATCATCGTGAGAGTGAGTGAGTTTTAATTTTACGCCGCTTTTAGCAACATTCTATCAATATTACGGTAGGGACACCAGAAATGTGATTCACATATTGTATCCATGTGGGGATTAGAACCTGGGCCTTGCGAGTGACGGGAAAAAAAAATGGTCCACTGGGCTCCCCAATCACCCCACATACGATCTGTGTCGGACACATGATTAGAGAGCTTCACGCCCATTGGCTGTAGATTTTGTCATCAGCTATTTATTATGTTAAATTTGATACCATGTTGTGTACTGTATACTCGCATCTCTCTGTTATGATGGAGTTAAACTTATTCTTATGGTTTTGGTTTTCATTTCATTTATAGCTTATGCTTTATATGTACAGAGTCGCCAAGTTTTGTCTTGAGTAGAAAATGATAAGTAATATTTCATCAAAGCTGTTGGTCTCGAGATAATGAACCGATGACATGTGTCAACCAAGCCAGCGAGCCTGACCACCCCATCGCGATGTCCTGCAGGACAACACATGGCCTGTCATGTCACCTGTCATGTAGCTTGAACGTTCATGGTGACCGGACAAAATCCACCCGGACAAAATCCACCCCAAAATTGCCACCCCGGGCAAAATCCACCTTTTCTTAACAAAAAATGGACAAAATCCACCCTTCTCAAATTGCTATTGTTAAAGTTTTAGTTTGTCCTGATCTTTGATCAAGTTGTTTTTCTGAAAAAATGGACAAAATCCACCCTTCTCATATTGCTATCTTTGATCAAGTTGTTTTTCTCAAGCATTGTTTTGATAGGATTTACGTTTTCCTAATTGGCTGTTGTTCCTAGATGTTGTTTCAAACATTAAAGGTTTCTCCATTTGTCACATTTTGATCACTACTTAATCCTTTTTCATGTATCATTAAGTAGTCTCACACTTTGATCATTACTGATCGACTGTCTGAGAAAAGACAACGGTCTTGCGTGTACAGCCATCTACAGGTCCGAAAGAGGTCAGCCCCCTAAGAAAAGAACCAGAACCACCACCAAACGTCTCCACGAACGCCTTGAAGGTCTGTGCAAGACCTACGCAGCGAAGGACAGGACACTCGGGGACTTTCTCCACGGCGTCGGCCGTTGTTTGCGTTTTTGAAATGTGGCAAGATGTTTAGTCATAGATATGTCTGAATGTGTAAAAATATATGCTGTTGTCATGTTTATATATGTATTGATGCATGCATGAGTCATAAATGTGAAATGTGAAAATGTGCAATTCATATATATATAAATGCAAAATGTGCTTACATATGTATTTTGGTTGTTTTTGTTATCGATTATGAATGACTGATTTGAATAAAATTCATTTCTGTGACTAAACATGTCATTAGTTTGTTTTTTTCGTGGATTTTATTAGGGGTGGATTTTGTCCGGGGTGGATTTTGTCCGGGTGGATTTTGTCCTAGGTTGCAGTTTTGGGGTGGATTTTGTCCGGGTGGATTTTATCCGGGTGGATTTTGTCCTGGATCCAACGTTCATGGGACACGATGCAGTTCATTACTATGCAACATTCTCGAATATGTTCTTGCATACAGACCCGTGAAGATCCGGGTTAGAACTGGTCTTCAGTAACCCGCGCTTGTCGAAAGAGGCGACTAACGGGATCGGGTGGTCAGGCTCGGGGACTTGGTCGACACATGTCATCCTATACGAATAGAGAAGATTGATGCACATGCTGTTGATCAGTGGATTGTCTCTGTCATATAGCTGGAATATTGCTGAGTGCGGCTTTAACCCCCTGGCTGCCGAGTTTTTTTTCAGGCGCACATTTTCATTGAACGTTGTGCGAGAATTGCTCTCGCGTGGTCCTGGATCTACGTAAGGCTATAAAATTACACAGAAATGTAGAATATTAAATTTCCTATCCGTTGGCATAAATATAAGTGCAACTACCTTGCCGGTTTGAGAAATAGACCTTGCTAAATGTTGTCAAAGTTTTTGTTATGCGTTAAAAAACAGTAAATTTCTCCGCTTTTTATCGCGCACCGATAAAAGCACTGTGTTACGAATTTTTTAATAGGGCATCTTTACGGAAAGTGTTAAAATTTTACGGAAAATACAGCCTGATATCTGAACGACATAAGTGTATATGAATTGGGTTTATGTGCTTGTGCATAACGTTATACGCTCAACATTAAAAATGACTCGCAATAAATGTCAAAAATGGATTTTCTTCTATGATGTCAAACGACGACAGAGAGGTCATACACGTACAATGATAAGGGGGCATAACTCCGTTATGCGTAACACTAGGTCAATGTAACTCAGACACACTTGGAGAGAATTTGTTGTGGATACGGACGCTATATTTTCGTTATTTCATATTCATGGTGAACAACACTATTCCAATTCAAAGTTCCCCAATGTGAACGGATGCGCTTTGGTAGTTTCACAATTTATAAGAAAAGATGACAACGTACTACATGTGAAAGCACCTAATAGCTATTTGAATGACCCTATCCGATATATAAATTAGTTCTAAGAATCCCACATTCTCCTGTTTGTGTAGATGTAATTTGACTAATTTTGCATCGTTATTACCAGAGTACTAGCCATATCTTCAAATGTAACGAAATTGCTGAAAATAATACAACATTTTAGTGACGTCATCGCTTGTTTATGCATTTTGCGACGTCGGAAAAAGACGACATTGGTATGCTGATTAGTATATATCTCACTTAATTTCCATTAATTGTATAAAAGGTCCAGACTTCTATGTCAGAATTTAACACTCTTTAGACAAAACATAAAATGACTTTTTTTTCCATTTAAATAGTGTCCTGAATATATCAACAATTAGACGGTTTGACAGTGTATCTTATTGTGAACCACACGCGCACCTGTTTGGCATCAATTTAACGTAAATAAAAATAATATTTCACAACACCCGAATATTTTGTTTGGGATAAGAATTTTGTTTGTTTATGATTATGTAGCTATTTTTCTTCATAAGTATGCAATGGAAGATGCAAAAAGATAGCTTTTCATATATGGAACTATATATTAGAATATGAATATAAGATTTGTCCGAATTAACACATGAGATGGTATGTATATTTTTCAACAATTTTCCTATAAGTAGTTAGAGTTTGATATCCTATCATCACAATATTATTTAATCGAATATGAATTGGATATATTATCGAAAACAATGATAACGAATCATAAAACGTTTCCAACAAACGCGCACCTTGCCGATCTATATGCATCATTCTTTTGTCTATAAAACGACACAAAATTATGCGATGAACAAGACAATTCCTTTAAATATGTGTGCATGTACATTTCATACCATACATACATCATTGTCATTAATATTATCAGTTTTGCATATAAGGTTGAATTATATCACCGTTCACTAACCTGTTCATATGAAATTGCAGTATTAGTCCAAATAAATTGAATATTGTACATCATAGGAACTAAAGTAGTTGCAGTTATGGCTACGTTTGATCTTCTAACACTTGTGTAAAGGTTTAGAATATGGTGTATTGCAATAAATATGTCAATTTCTTATGTAAATATGATTCAAACAATCAAAAACTTTCAAAGAATAAAACACCGTAAACCCTATATGAAGGTATGATATGATATTGAACCAGGCTAAATGTAGATACTGAAGTCAGTTTCATCAAAAAGTATCCGAACTATCCGCAAAATATACATCATAATACTGACAGTGTAATATTGGAAGGATATGGCGATTGTGTTTACTCTTGTTCAACCGACCTTCACCTCAAAGAAATTGCCTAATATGTAGAAC